AGGTCGTGGCTGCCTGCAAGCTTTGCTTTGCTGGGGTGGAGGCAGGAAAGGGGTTAATCCAGGTGTCAGGTAGGACATGTGCTGCTGGGGCTGGAGGGTGGCCAAATCCACCTTCTCCCCATCTGTTTTGGATTAAGGCCAAAAAAACAACAACCCCTCAGTGGCAAAACCACCTGCAGCTCCGGGGCTGCTGAGGAGGAGGAGGAGTGGAGGAAGAGGAGGAGGGATGGAGGAGCAGGGGTGTAGGGGATTGCCTCTCCTCGGCCAGGCACACGTTGCAGTGAATGATTAACTTCTTCAGGTCAAAGAACTGCTTCATCCAAGGATTTTTTTGACCTTTTAGGGGACTATTGTCTCCTGGGAAGCTGTTGGTAGACAGAATTAAGGAGGGCTGGCACAGGGCTTTGAAGGCACTGTGTGTGCTCCTGTCCTGTGTCGTGTCACTGTGCCCAGATCTTGAAAATCCCCCCGTTGGGAGGTTTTGAAGCCAGTGTGGTTTCTGTGCTGTCTGCTCAAGGCTATCAGGAGAGTGGGTTTGGTGTGGTTTTTTTCTTTTTCAGAGACTTAAATTAACTTCAGACATGCAAAAGAGGATGAGAAAGTGCTACGGTTACAAAGAATAAATTTGGCCGGTGGAGGAGTTTCAGTTGGCGGAGGGGACGGAGATTGGGACTGGGTGTCTGGCACCCTGGTATCTGCACTGTCACTGTCCTGGGGAGTCCCTGCGTTTTAGAGATGCTTTAGGTTTTGTGTATTATTTTACTGAAGTGCCTGGGTGGCTGGTAGCTCTCCCCTCCTTGCTGGAGGGAGTTTCTGGGCTGGGGTTGCACCTCTCCCACCGTGGCTGTGCCTTGCAGCCCAGTGGGATGGGGTCAAAGCAAGTCACTCCTCTAGCAGCAGCCTGGTTCTCAGCTTTGGGTATGGCTCACTGGCTTTGAAATCAGCTGACAGTGACTTCTGCAGAAGCAGGGGCATCTGGTATGGTGCTGCCAGGGTCTCAAAGGAGAGAGTCCATTGTCTGTGCAAGAGCATCCCGGGTTAGGTGGGCTCTGAGATCTGTTAGCCTGTTGTAGGCAAAATGTGGAGTTTTTGTGCCATTTCAGGAGACAGAAAACCCACAAACTTTATAAAAGTGAAGGTTAAAAGATACAGCCACTTTATTTTTTTTTTTTTTGTTTTCTTCTTTAAGATGAGCAGGGGAAAAAAGCATGTAGGAAATTTAGGAATCTAGGCAAGTACAGAGCTCCTTTGTTTTTAATTAGCTGCGTTGTTTTTAATTGCTACTCTGCTTGATACATAACCCAGCCTAAACAAGAATAGCTTATTGAATGGGGGACTGACTGTGAAAGGCACCGTGAGGAGAAGGGCTGTTCTTCACAGTTGATATATTTGTATTTCAGTGCTTCATTTAATAAGTCTGTTTCTCCAGGGGGCTGTAGCAAGTAAATCATGACAACAGATTGTTCTCTGCAAACTGGCTTATTTTTGTAATTAGCAAGACGTTAAAGCTGTAACTGCATAGAAAGCGATCTGGGTAACGAGTTAACATGAAAGAATTAGTAAGCAAAATGTAATACTTATTGTTTGATAACATTTGTGTTGATTGAATTGGTTTCTGGACAATTTGTTGTCTGCAGTAGTCAATTTTCCTGCAGCTTCATAAAATGGGAGAGGAATTCAGCAGGTGTGCACAGTGAGGGTAGTAAGGTGTGGGGGTTTTTTTGGGGGGAGTACTTTTTGGGAATCACACCTGGATGTCCAGGTGGACCTGGTGGAGAAGCCTTGCTGGGGGTTAAAGCCATCCTGCTCATCAACAGAAACTGCTGGTATTTCCCTGGCTTTATTTTGCTTTTCTCCTTTTTTTTCCCAGTTATTTGAAAAATACGGCGTCACCATGAGCGGAGTATTGAAAAGGAAGTATGAAGAGCTGGGGGATGACAGCACCTACTGCTCCTCCTCTTCCTGCTCCCCCCTCTCCTCCTCGGCGTCCTCAGGCTGGGAGTCGGATGAGGAGAGCTCCCGCGGAGAGCCCAAGCCCAGCTCTGCCTTAACGCCCAGTTTTACCCGTGAGTATCTCCGGCAGCCCCTTTCCTGGGATCTGACATGGCCACGCACGGGTTTTTGTAGCATGGTAGGGGGTCATCACAGACACCCTTGGAGGACACCTTCAGGGGTGGAAGTGGCCGTAACTCCAGATCCCTGTCATTCCAGCAGTTTATCTTCACTTTATAATCAGCCAGCATCTTCGGAGTAATCTTTCTCAGTCCTTCCTCCCAGCATTTTTCATTCCTTTATAATGTTTTTGCTGAAGTCCAAATTTCCAGGAACAGAAACCCAAAGACCTGGGTGTACGGAGACATGCAGGTACCTCCAAGCTGGTGCTGTAGGACCGTCCCACCATCTGTCAATGCCTTGTCAAGCTATTCATAGGCAGCGACTAAACAGACAGCAAAGGCCCATAGCACTGTTTTTTAAAAATTATTAACCCGTAGCATAATTACCATTTCAGAACCCGTTTCCTCTGTAAGTTGGCTACTTTGCCAAGGAACATGACACATTTGACATGGCCTCTGCTGTTAGTACAGATAAATGCTATTCTGTTTTCCCAGCGATATCAATGTTGAGAGCTTTTAGGAAAACACACAGAAGACAAGGTTGTAAAATCCTTTATCTGCCATGCGAAGAGGAAAACAAAAAATACAATAGGGGACCATCTTCACAGAGGAGAAATAGTGCAACCTAGTAAATTATACTGAACACCCACTGTATATAGCAGTCAAGGTCCACTTAGCAGACATACACAAACATGCAGTGAGTCTGAAAAGGCTTTAGAAGTCTTGTAATAATAAAGAGTCTCATTCTTGCTTGTCTTCCCAGGTTTTGTGACAAAACAATGAACTTTTTGTATTCTCTGTCTCAATTGGAAAAGGGTCAGGAATGGGAAAACAATTTCGGGGGGGGG